CATTCGGTTTACCCGGGCGGTACTGGATATTAAAGTCAAAGGGCTGCAGCGCCAGACTCCAGCGCAGCAGCCTGGCATTGTCCCCAGCCACCCGGTTTATCCATACTAACGGGTTGTGATCCGTGAGCAGGGAAAAAGCTTGCCCATACAAATACGGCTGTAATTTCTTCAGGGCCCACACCACAGCCAGGCATTCCTTTTCGATGGCGGCGTAGCTTACTTCTCGAGGTAACAGCTTCCGGCTGATGTAAGCCACGGGATGTTCTCCGCCATCGGCCCGACTTGGCTCAGTACTGCTCCCAATCCAAACATAGAAGCGTCTGTGTGGACAAGAAAACGTTTAGTTGGATTGGGAGCTGCCAAGACAGGGGCATTGGTCAATGCATCTTTCAACAGCTGAAATGCCTGCTCACACTCCGGGGTCCAGGTCACTTGGCGGGGAAGATTTTTACGGGTTAAGTCAGTGAGGGGTTTGGCCAGGGCACTATAGTTCGGGACAAATTTCCGGTAGTACCCGGCCGTTCCTAGGAACGCTAATACCTGAGTCTTAGTCCTAGGGGTAGGCCATTGAGCTACAGCCTCTACTTTGGCTGGTTCTGGTTTCTGTTTGCCGCATCCTACCCGATGGCCGAGGTATTGTACTTTTGGCTGGTTTCAGCGTTAAACCAGCGGCCCTAATCCTGTCTAGGACCGCTCCTATATGGGTCAAGTGTTCCTGCCAGGTATTGCTGAAAATGGCAATATCATCGAGGTACGCGCAGGTATAATCTTGGAACCCATCCAGGAGGCGGTCCACCATCCGCTGAAAGGTAGCCGGGGTGTTTTTCATCCCAAACCTTAAATTGGTACAAGCCGAATGGGGTGACAAAGGCCGACTTAGGGATGGCGTCTTGTGCTAAGGGGATTTGCCAATACCCCTTACACAAGTCAATAGTGGTGAGATAGTGCCCCCTCGCCATCCGGTCCAGTAGTTCGTCTATCCTGGGCATGGGATAGGCGTCAGATACCGTCTTCTCATTCAGTCTCCGGTAGTCTACACAAAAACGGGTCGTGCCGTCCCATTTTGGTACTAGCACTACCGGGGACGCCCAGGGGCTGTCAGAGGGCTCAATCACCCCCAGCTGGAGCATCTCATCGATCTCCTTGCGCATGTTCTCCCGTACCGCTTCTGGGATGCGGTACGGGGTCTGACGCATGGGGAGTTTCCCTGGGGTGTCTACTCGGTGAGTGGCCAGAGGAGTGTAACCAGGTACATTAGAGAAGATATCCTGCTTCTCCCTCAACAGCTTTTGTACCTTGCTCCGCTCCTGTGGGCTCAACCGGTCCCCCAGGGTGACTTCCCCTAAGTCCCCAGATAACTGACCCTCTCCCAGCAGATCTGGGAGAGGCAGACTGTCAAACTCCTCTGAGTTAGGCGCGCATATGGCGGTCACTTCCTCAGAGCGCTCCTGGTAGGGCTTCATCATGTTCACATGGAGCATGAGTCACCCCCCAGTACCAACGCACGAGCCTATTATATAAGTGGTGTCACACCATTGTTCTACCACCCTATAAGAGCCTTGCCAGGCGGCCTGCAGCTTATCGTGTCGGACAGGTTTTAAAATCAACACTTTCTGCCCGACCTGAAAGCTACGGTCCATGGCGCCCCGATCATACCATGTGCGTTGGCGTGTCTGAGCCGCCTGCAAATTCACGCATACCGTCTGGGTTAAGGCCTCCAGGCGGTCTCGGAATGCCAACACGTATGGTATGATGGGGGTACCGTCAGTGCTCCGTTCTCCCTCCCTATGCTCTCTGATTAAATCTAAAGGCCCTCGTACCCTGCGGCCAAACAATAATTCAAATGGGGAAAACCCAGTGGATTCCTGCGGCACCTCCCTGTAAGCAAAGAGGAGGTGAGGCAGGAATTTCTCCCAGTCCTTGTGGGTCTCTGCGAAGGTTCGGAGCATTTGTTTCAATGTACCGTTGAAACGTTCGCAGAGCCCATTCGTCTGGGGGTGGTAAGGGGAACTAATGACAGGCTTAATGTCACAGAACTTCCAGAGGCGCTGCGTGACTTGGGCAGTGAAGTGGGATTTTTAAGTAGCAACATCAGTGTGTCAGCAGGGCCAGCCATTGGGGTGTGCATGCTGTGCGGTCACGCAGGGTGCCATCACAATAGAGGCGCCCCGCGGACAACACAACTCACAAGTTGGGGACACCAGCCTATTCAGTTTAAACGATTCGCTGGTGGTCCACTAGTGCGCACCAGCAGTAGGTGCAGTCAGATTATAGCCTCTCCTTCATGGTTCCGATGCTCAGTTAGTGAGTCAGAGCACAGGCTCAGATATTCTCTCCTCTACCCCCTCCTCCCCCTGCACACTCCCCCTCCCCACCATACAAAAATAACCTTAATACACAATATATACAAAATTTAACAGAACAGGTAGGAAATATATAATGAACCATGACAGGTGCATTCTCTTTTGAAATATGTAGAGAGGAATCTCTTAAAGGATTTTAGGCCTGGGGAAGATTTGAAAGTGTGTGGGAGGTCGTTCTATAATTGTGGCACAAATGGAGGATCGAGCCACTTTCATTTTGTATTGAGGTAGGCAAAAAAAAAAAAAAGTGCTTGTACTGGATAGGAGGTGGGAACAGCCGGGGATAGCATTCTGCTCAGGTAGGGAGGGAGCTTCCCAGAAAAGCCCCTAAACACAAGGCTGGAAAGATGAAGGGTGAGTCTGGTTTCCAGCGACAGCCAGTTTAGTTCTTTTAGCATGTCACAATGGTGGGTCCTATAATTACATTGTAGCACAAAGCAGACTGAGTTATACAATGTATTAAGTTTATAAATGTGGGTTTGCGTTGTAGGTGCATATACTACATCCCCATAATCAATTATTGGCATCAGCATTTGCTGTACAATCTTTTACTTTACTGTAGGGCTTAGGCAGGATTTGTTTCTATACAGGGCACCTAGTTTTGGATAAAGTTCAGATGCAAGTTTTTCTATGTGGAGGCCAAAGGATAGATTGGGGTCTAACAACATACCCAAGTATTTGAAATAGTAGACTGCAGTCAGTGTTCTATTTGATTTTGTTTTGATAGATAGGTGGGAATTGTGTAGTTTGTGTAATTTAGGTACTGTTCCAAATAATATTGTGACAGTTTTTTCAGTGTTTAGGAAGAGTTTGTTTTTTGTGATCCACTTTTCTACCTCTGTAAACTGGTCTTGGAGAACAGCCTCCAGCTGCAGTAGATTGGATTTGCTTACATAGATTACTGTGTTGTCTGCGTACAGGTGTACATTTAAGAATTTGCAGACATTAGGCAGATCGTTTCTAAATAACGTGAATAGTAGGGGGGCCGAGAATGGAACCTTGGAGAACACCACACATGACAGAGAGGGAGTTGCTGTCAGAAATGGACACATATTGTGAGCGATCTGATACATATGCTCGAAACCAGGTTAGCAGACAATCACCAATACCTGAGTTTTTTTTGTTTGAGCAGTAGAATGTTGTGGTCTACTGTGTCAGAGGCAAAATCAAGGAAATAGTTCCAGTTAAGTATCCTTGTTCCATGCCAGTTTGGTTGTCATTGCAAACTTTTAAGAGGGCAGTTGTAGTTGAGTGATCAGGCAAACATCTGATTGAGCAGGGGTCAGATAGTTAGATTGTTGCGTATGGGCAAATTTTTCTAAGATTTTTGAAAATACTGGGAGCAATGATATTGGGCGATAGTTAGAAACCAAAGTAGTGTTACCACTTTTATGGATAGGCACTACTCTTGCAGGCTTCAAAAGTTTGGGTATGTATCCAGACACCAAGGATTTGTTAATTAGGGTTGTGACAAGTTTAGCAATTGCCAGCGCACGGAGCTTCAACAGCATTGCTGAGATTTGATCAGGTCCAGACTGGTTTTTCATTTTTAGATTATTAAGGTGTTTCTTAATGACACTAATAGGTAAAGGTCTAAAACTAAACTATATTGGGTCTTTGCAAATTTAATGGG